TTTGTAGATTCATCCTTACTTCTTTGTAGATTCATCCTTACTTCTTTGTAGCACCATCCTTACTTCTTTGTAGCAATATCCATACTTCTTTGTAGATTCATCCTTACTTCTTTGTAGCATCATCCTTACTTCTTTGTAGCATCATCCTTACTTCTTTGTAGATTCATCCTTACTTCTTTGTAGATTCATCCTTACTTCTTTGTAGCATCATCCTTACTTCTTTGTAGCATCATCTTTACTTCTTTGTAGATTCATCCTTACTTCTTTGTAGCATAATCTTTACTTCTTTGTAGATTCATCCTTACTTCTTTGTAGATTCATCCTTACTTCTTTGTAGCATCATCCTTAGTTCTTTGTAGCTTCATCCTTGCATCCATTCATCCTTATTTCTTTGTAGCATCATCCTAAGTTCTTTGTAGCATCATCCTTACTTCTTTGTAGCTTCATCCTTACTTCTTTGTAGATTCATCCTTACTTCTTTGTAGATTCATCCTTACTTCTTTGTAGATTCATCCTTACTTCTTTGTAGCTTCATCCTTACTTCTTTGTAGCATCATCTTTACTTCTTTGTAGAATCATCCTTACTTCTTTGTAGCATCATTCTTACTTCTGTGTAGCATCATCTTTACTTATTTGTTGATTCATCCTTACTTCTTTGTAGCATCATCCTTACTTCTTTGTAGCATCATCCTTACTTCTTCGTAGCATCATCCTTACTTCTTTGTAGCTTTATCCTTATTTCTTTGTAGCATCATCCTTACTTCTTTGTAGCTTTATCCATACTTCTTTGTAGCATCATCCTTACTTCTTTGTAGCATTATCCATACTTCTTTGTAGCATCGTCCTTACTTCTTTGTAGATTCATCCTTACTTCTTTGTAGCATTATCCATACTTCTTTGTAGCATCATCCTTACTTCTTTGTAGCATTATCCATACTTCTTTGTAGATTCATCCTTACTTCTTTGTAGCATTATCCATACTTCTTTGTAGCATCGTCCTTACTTCTTTGTAGATTCATCCTTACTTCTTTGTAGCATTATCCATACTTCTTTGTAGCATCGACCTTACTTCTTTGTAGATTCATCCTTACTTCTTTGTAGCATTATCCATACTTCTTTGTAGCATCATCCTTACTTCTTTGTAGCATTATCCTTACTTCTTTGTAGCACCATCCTTACTTCTTTGTAGCATCATCCTTACTTCTTTGTAGCATCATCCTTACTTCTTTGTAGATTCATCCTTACTTCTTTGTAGATTCATCCTTACTTCTTTGTAGCACCATCCTTACTTCTTTGTAGCATTATCCATACTTCTTTGTAGATTCATCCTTACTTCTTTGTAGCATCATCCTTACTTCTTTGTAGCATCATCCTTACTTCTTTGTAGATTCATCCTTACTTCTTTGTAGATTCATCCTTACTTCTTTGTAGCATCATCCTTACTTCTTTGTAGCATCATCTTTACTTCTTTGTAGATTCATCCTTACTTCTTTGTAGCATAATCCTTACTTCTTTGTAGATTCATCCTTACTTCTTTGTAGCTTCATCCTTACTTCTTTGTAGCATCATGCTTACTTCTTTGTAGATTTATCCTTACTTCTTTGTAGCATCATCCTTACTTCTTTGTAGCATCATCCTTACTTCTTTGTAGCCTCATCCTTACTTCTTTGTAGCATCATTCTTACTTCTTTGTAGCATCATCTTTACTTCTTTGTAGATTCATCCTTACTTCTTTGTAGCATCATCCTTACTTCTTTGTAGCATTATCCTTACTTCATTGTAGCATCATCCTTACTTCTTTGTAGCATCATCCTTACTTCTTTATAGCATCATCCTTACTTCTTTGTAGATTCATCCTTACTTCTTCGTAGCATCATCCTTACTTCTTTGTAGCATCATCCTTACTTCTTTGTAGCATTATCCTTACTTCTTTGTAGATTCATCCTTACTTCTTTGTAGCATCATCCTTACTTCTTTGTAGCATCATTCTTATTGCTTTGTAGCATCATCCTTACTTCTTTGTAGCATCATCCTTACTTCTTTGTAGCATCATCTTGACTGCTTTTGGATGATATATCGACATTTTTTCTTTATTTTGATCAAATTGACTGTGAGTTCACAGTACGAACTCCGTTTGTAATAACTTTACTGTATTATTGAAATTTTTCTTCTTTCTTTTACGATATTAGGACAGAATCGCGAGAGTCCAATCAAAATGCATTCAATAAAAATCCATATTCTATAAAAGACATACTTTATAACAGATATATTGTATGGTTGCTTGGGGAGGCTACTATAAAGAGAGTAGACATTATTTTTATATTGCAACAAAGTTTTTATTATTTTTTTAGCAGAGTATCATTTTTTATGTTTATATTTTGCTATACTCTGTACACTTCCCTCTTTTGCTTATCTTTTGTTTATCACTCATAGTTTGTTCTTGCCTTAAATAAATTTTTGTCTCATCCTGAAGTTTTTGTCTTCCCTAATTTTCTAAGTGGCAATATAAATTCAAAAATATCGTTTAAAACTATTTAGAATTTCCAGAGTTGTTTTAGCATCTAATAAAAATATATATAGAAGAAACTCAAATAATTAAAAGTGGTAGAATATCAAACGGAATACAGAATTATCAACCACAATGTTTCTCCCAGCTTCAAATGGAATAATGGTCGCGGGGTATTATGGGATTAGGCTTACCGCTCTGGTGTATTAGTGTCAGAGCTATGATAATAAGTCCAGTGTCGCACATGTATAAGCCACAATCACGCTTCACCATCTGATAAATTAATTTACATCTTCTGTTTTATTTCAAAATATTTTAATCGTTATTTGAATTGTCATGGATACAGGCAGCTTATATAATGGGCGTTCTATAGGTAATTTGTTAGACTTCCACAAAAATTATGAAAAAAAGGCATCTCCTTATCGTGCAACTGAAAGTTTCTGATGACTTGCATCATCTATCGGAACAAATATCAATTATTCTAGTTGATTTTTTTAATTATTCCAGAATGGGCCAAATACACATTCTTGATTAATCAAGAATATAGAAGAAATAGTTATCATGAATGGGTATTTGGCCAATTCTGGAATAATTAAAAATCAACGAGAATAGTTGATATTTATTCCGATAGATGACGCAAGCCATCAGCAACTTTCAGTTGCACGATAAGGAGATGCCTTTTTTTCATAATTTATGCACCTTATTCCAGTACAATATCACAATTGTACTATTTTTTCTAACACAAATGTTAACGTTTTGTATTTGTTATGACCTTTTTTAAGTGTCACATTATTTATAACTTTTCAACTATAATAACAACGTACGCTGTCCCTTTAAGGCCACTGGAACCAAATTAAAAAAAAGAGATAAAGAAATATATTCATATATATATCCAAATAAATTTTCTGAAAATAGAGAAATCCATAAATAAATCTTTAAATAAAAAGACATATATATTGGATAAATTATATTTTGACCCAATATATGCCTTTTCATTTATTTATTTTTTGCTCATCCCTAGTACACGTGGTACAGGCCATGATAATCATAGTTAGCGACCGCTTTTACTGTAAGTGCACCACATGTCTACACATGTGAAAAGCAGTCCGACCTTGCACTCACAAATGTGTCAGAGTTTGGTTACTTGCACTCGCTGGTGGGGTTGAACTTTTGCAAGAATCGGGGGCCTTTGGAGCATTTTTTTAACAGAAAAAAGTGTCCAATGTGGGAATCGAACCCGGGTCGTAGCGGTCGAAACCCAAACGGTTTAACCAGCCTTTCACCGACACCCCCTTTTTATTTAAATATAAATAAATACATTTAGAGAAGAGAAGGCATATATTAGATTTATAAATATTTTTATTGTTCTAATATTTCGAGGGGCAACTGGCCTCTCTTTATCGAGGATGTTTGTGTTTCTCACTAAAACACGTGAGAACGTGTATCACTCTGGTTCTACAAAACCAATCTTTCATTGGTCATTTAATAGGAATTACATTCTTAAGTCTATATAAGATTTTATTATAAAAGTAATATCAATATTGTACACCTATCCCCCGATTTACACGGTAGATACGTTCCTGAGAAAAATGTGTAAATGGGGGGATAGGTGTACACAGAAATAAAAAATAAAATGCATTGACAGGTTAAAATATGTAGTCAGCATATAAGCTCGGTATTCCTCGTGAGATGTGTACACAGCGCATGTGTTCAATCACAGTAGCATTTAGTATAGTGCGATAAAAACAAAAAAAAAAACTTATTTGGAAAACCGTGTAAAAGCGAAAACGTGTAAAACAAGTACCGTGTAAATTGGGGGATAGGTGTATTTCTCTCTTCTTATCCTCGCGAACGATAAATTAGTCAAATCGTAATTTTCTTCTTTTGATTTAATATAATCTATAATTAAAGAAGTTTTAGCCAAACAATGAACACAATTGTGAAACGACTTATATAAATTCTACAAGGCCGCAGTCAATGTCCGTTGGAGAATAATGGATTCGCCGAATGTCGTGGTTTGCTTGGAGGAAGAGGGCGAAGATTGAACGCGGCTGATTCCTCACTAGCCCTCTCAATGATATCCTAACCTTGACATATCCTAAACATTGGTACTTTAATTTAAATATTTAATCATGTATGGTTCATTTTGCTCTGTATGTTTATTTTTTGTATATATGGTTATATTTCTTTTTGTTTGTTTTTTTTCTTTCTTCTCTCTTTTCTTTTTCCTTATTACCTCTTGTATTCTAGTTTTTACTTTTGAAATATCTTCCTTTGCTAAATCCTGTAGAGGGGAATCATGTATAGGGCTGGATGCCCCAATAAAAAGGCTTGTGTGTGAATTGTAAAACGACACCTGAAAACCATCCCGCATGAGTTTCTTTTCAACGAAAAATCAAAATTTATCCCAAGGAGAGACAACGATTATTTCTAACCTTAGGGATGAAGTATGAAAGGATGAATTGTGAAGAGTGATGATAAACAGAAAAATAAAAGTGTCCAGGGATGGGAATCGAACCCACAGTGTTCCGCTTACCGGGCAGATGCCATGTCGATTAGGCAATGAACACAATTGTCAAATTAAAGATACTTCGGCCAGTAAATCCTTTTTATTGTCTCGACAAAGATCTTTTGTCCTCGTCAGGAGCAAACAAAAATCAAAACATTTGGCAAAGCGTTAAAAATTATTCTGCAAAAAAGATTAACTGGCCGAAGTATCTTTAATTTGAAGAACTATGAATGCCGGCCAGGCAGCCTCTATCTTTATGACAATTGTACAAAGTCATCTTGTAAGCCCATATATCCCATAGTAATATCTGATATTGTGTTGAATTCAATTTTAGTATAGTATTTTAAAACGACATTCGAAAACTATCCCGCATGAGTTTCTTTTCAACAAAAAATCAAAATTTATTCCAAGGAGAAATAACGATTATTTCTAACCTTAGGGATGGGGTATGAATGGATGGGATGGACACTTTTATTTTTCCGTTTATCACTACACTTCACAATTCATCCATTCATACCTCATCCCTAAGGTTAGAAATAATCGTTATTTCTCCTTGGAATAAATTTTGATTTTTCGTTGAAAAGTAACTCATGCGGGATAATTTTCAAATGTCGTTTTACAATCACAAGCCGCATTATATTGTATTGTAATAGAATTTTAATTGAAAAATTTAAACCATACATCTCTTTAATCAGTATGTTAGAATTTGTATGAAAACAGATATTTATAAAATGTATATTTTGGGAACTCAAAAACCTAAGATTTACTGCAAAGCGAGAATTTTTTAAAAATCTTTAAGTTCTAATAACTTTATCCTTTATATGAAAATCAAAATTCAATTTATTTTTTCTTCTATGTTTGCAAATGTTATTCCTGATTTTTTTATTTTTTGTACTGGTGAGATTATTTCTTTTTTTGTTGTTTTTGTTGTTTTTTAATAGAGAGACTGGGATATATGTATTACTAGCCGAATGACCCGGGCAACGCCCGTGTTTTACCCGATTGAATGTTTTGATTCAAATACTATTTGTTACAATTATAAATTGGCGCCTTAAATAAAAGCATATGTTAGTTAATAACTATAGCCTATGTGCTTTATCTGTCTATGTACTATTGGCTTCCGTAGGCGTCTCTTACTGGGAAAAAGAAAGAGAGGATTCCATTTGGTTATTAACTAATATATGCATTTATTTAAGGAGCGACCCGCTCCAACACAATAGTTACAAAAACGAAAAAGCGAGTGGGGGGGGGCATGATGGGGGGGGGGGCAAAGGTGGCGTGATCGTAGCCAACCAATAGGAGGGCGCCATTCCAAAAAAAAAAAGCAAACGGTGACAGAGACGAAAACTGATTAAGAGATGAAGAATTGATGACGCTCGTAACTGTATATAGAATATCTCTCATTTCTTATATAAATAATATAAAATATAGATTTTGGAAATTCATATTCTCTACTTATAGCTACTTGTTTACTTTTGCTTTTCTATTTCTTCGATTTATAATTTCTTGAAAATAAATATACTTCTGCCAGTAAATATTTTTATTACCTCGATGTTTCGACAAAATTCTTTTGTTCTCGTCAGGAGCAAACAAAAATTAAAGCAGTTGGCAAGACGTTAAAATTATTCTAAGGTTCCAAGGGCGTTCTCACGCGATATTTCAAATTTTGTACAACATCTAAAGCACGAGTCAAAAATAAATATTTAACTCACAAAAGACTATGATCTTTGAAATAAATTATAATATACATATATAATGGCTTTTCTTGATTTATCAATAAATCGGGTTGGCCAAATATAAGGGAACAGGCTAAATCAATGTTTAGTTGATTTCTGTTCCACCAGATGGCGCTCTGCCTTCTGTAAAGCACATGTGCTCCTGGTCAGGATATGCCATTTTTAATATATATATAATGAGAAATTATAAACAAAAATAAATATAAAAATAATAATAGTATTCACAAATATTTCCCAATAGTCTATATAATCTATTACGTACAACTTATACCTACCCTTTTTTTTCGATTTGTAAGTCAAAAGTATACAAAGATATGTTTTTATACCCGTAATTGATTATTAGTCTTTTTAAATAAACAATAGTAATGTTTTATTATTACAGTAAAACCTCCCTTTAGTGGATACCCCGCTAGCAGACACCTCTCTACAAAGAACAGTTTTCATTTGCAAAATTACCATTTTTACTATTTAGCAACTCTCCGGTAAGAGAACATCTCTCCCTAAAGGACACTTTGGCTCTGTAATTAGGTGTTGTCCTTTACAGGGAGGTTCTACTGTATCTCTAATATGCGTCGTTTAGGGCATGCTAATCATGGTGGATAGTAGTTAGCGACTGATTTTACTGCAAGTACATTACATATCTACACATTTAGAAATCAGTTTGACATTTGCACTTACAAGTGTGCCAGAGAGTCACATTTGGTTACTTGTACTCACTGGAGAGGTAAGACTTTTGCAAGAATCGAAGGTCATTTAATCAATTTGTTTACATTTGCAAAATTAGCATATTTTCAATTTAGCAACTCTCCGGTAGGAAGACACCTCTCCCTAAAGGCCACTTTAGCTCTGCAATTAGGTGTTGTCCTTTACAGGGATGTTCTACTTTATCTCTAATATGCGTCGTTTAGGGCATGCTAATCATGGTGGATAGTAGTTAGCGACTGCTTTTACTGCAAGTACATCACATATCTACATATGTAGAAGTAGTTAAACTTTTGCACTTACAAGTGTGCCAGATTTTGCCTATGGTGACTTGCACTCACTGGTAGGGTAACACTTTTGCAAGAATCGAAGGCCATTGAAGAATTTTTTTCTTCTGAAAAAAAAAGTGTCCAAGGCGGGATTCAATCTTGGGTCGTGGATGTCAAAAATCGAAGGTTTGTAACACTCCTTCACCAACTCCCTATAATCAATCATAACTTAATACTGTATAAAAATTATCTAACTATAATTTTACAATGATGTATACAAATTTAATTGGTGAAATGATAAAATTACAAAAGAAGGAATGGAAGGATATCATAGTTGGAAGAGATCAAATGTAGATGCCACGTGTTTCTTTATTTAAAAGTCTGCAAGTTTTCGGAAAATGATGTCCTTCAACAGGTTATTACGCCAATACAAGAAACTAGAAATATGCGATATATATAAAATAAAATAGGCATATCCTGACCAGGCTCACATGAGCATTTCTAGATGGCAGAGCGCCATCTATTTGAACAAAAATAAACTAAACGTTTATTTAACTTGCTCCGTGATATTTGGCCAACCCAATTATATAACCTAAAATGCAAATATTTTATTTTTAAAAACATGTATTTTATTGTCATCATTAAAAATAGTTATAGAGGAAGCATTAAATACTATCGAATTGTGGTGTATTAAGAACAAGTTAGAAATCAGTTCCGAAAAAACAAACATTTTATATTTGCATAATAAAGAGAAGATCCCAGTTAAATTTAAGAGTGGATTAATTTCACCAGTACAAAAAATAAAAATTTTAGGAATAACAATTGCAAATCATAGAAGAAAAAACAAATTAAATTTTGCTTTTCATATAGAGGAAATAGTGAGCAGAACTCTAAGAATAAAAAATTTTCTATTCTCTCTGTGCAGCAAATCATGGGGTTTGAGCTCCCATAAAAGAATTACATTGTACAAATCTTTATTCAGATCAACTTTAACATATGGATCAGAAATATGGTTCAAATTTTTAAATAAAAAATCGATACAAAAATTAAACTCAATGCAATATCAGATATTATTATGGAGCATTCAAGCTTACAAGACAACTTCGTACAACTGTGTTCACAGTTTGGCTAAGACTCCATTGATTGCAGATTACATTGAAGCAAAAAATATGAGATATGACTTAAATAACTTATCGTTCGAGGACAAGCAAAAATACAACATCGATATTCCCTTTATAATTAAATCCTATATAGACGAAAGAATGTAGCTCTTACTGTATAATACAAACGAGACATTTACAAGTTTTTTCAACCGGGGTATTCCTAATTATTTTCGCCCTAATTTCCACAACACACAATTTGTAACCAACCATGGTAATTTCGGAAGTTTTCTGGAAAGAATACGCGCATCGGAGGATCGGGGCTGTTTTTGTGGATGCCGCATTCAAGATTCCACTCACCTTTTACTTAAGTGCCCAGCATTTCAAGACTACAGACTCAATAACTGTATCCTCTGTACCGATCCAAGAGAACTGATATCCAGCAGGGATTCATACATTGTTTTCAATAGATTTTGTAAATTTATATCAAAGTTTTTAATTAATCTCAAGTGTTAGGTATAATTAACTATGTGCTGTATATATGATTCTTTTTTTTTCCTTTTTCCTTTATCTTGAGGTGTGTTTAAATTAAATTACCTATGTATATAGTATGCTTGTTTGAAATCAATTTCAAAAATATGTAAATGCCTTGAGCATATGTTTTTTTTTTTTGATATGTAAATAGATTCTCCCTCTCTCTCTCTCTCTCTTGTATTACTTTCCTTTGGGCGCCAGTGTCCTTGGCGGGACATCGCGCTTTGTATTTACAGTTGAATAAATAAAAAAAAAATCATTGACTATTCTTTTATTTTTGGCCCTAGATTTAGAAGATACCACTTTTTGAATATTGTTGTAAATATGTATAGTTTTTAAATCACGAATATAGAATTCATTTTATAAATTCTATTTTACTGTGACAAATAATTATATATAATTTTCTTCAAGTAATTCAAAATAAAAACTACTTGATATATATATATATATATATATATATATATATATATGTTATATAATTTTAAAAAATAATAATAATAATTTATAGAAATGTCATAGATATAAATCCTTGTACATATTATTTTATTAATAATCTGTTTAAAATAACTCTGTTATTCTTGGCCACTAGATGGCGCCACCTTAAATATAAATAGATTGTTTTGTTTTTTTAGTAGAGGTTAGGTAAGTTAGATTTTATTTTATATAAATATGTAAATAGTGATATAGAATTAAATATTAAAATTCTATATTTACTTAAAA